TGTGTGTGTTTTTTGACTTGTAGATTTTCCTGAAAGTGGCTGAAGATAACGGAGTCGACACTGAAGTGCCCTCAGGTGAGGAGTGACCCCTGACCTCAATGTCATAATAAGAGTCTGAAATCCAGTCAACCCACACTGAAACATTTAACTACATCTACTACACACTACTGTGTGTGTGTGTGTGTGTGTGTTCAGATGGTACACTTCCTGTCTGGAGGCGGAGGAGGACTCACGCCTTCGGTGGAGGAGACCATCAGAGCTGTCTGAGACCTTTAACAGAGGACGACTGCAACGAGTCTGACGGAGATCCAGGTACACGATATGTTGTATTTATGTTGTATGCATGTTGTAATTATGTTGTCTGTCACATGAACTTCGGCTTCTTCTGTCTGAGACCTCCAGAGTGCTTTTACACAACTTAAACATGAGAGAACAAGCTAATGTTAGCATTCTGGTCAGTGCTAGCATTAGCACAGCTGTGGTCCAGGCTACGATGTTTCATTAAAATCCATTTCAAACTAACACTGAATTCCTCCTGGGTTAGAAACCAACGTTAGAATAACCGAATCATTACATCATCATGGAACATGATCACATACTCACTCATGTGACCTGTGTGACCTCATGTGACCTCTTAGAGTGCCGGGAGACGGACTGGTTGAACTGTACCGATGGTAAAGGGTCGTATGAGGTGAAAGGTTGGAGTCTGAAGAGGCAGCAGTTTGTAGCTCTGATGTGGAAACGATTTCTGTTTGCTCGACGCTCCAGGAAGGGCTTCTTCGCTCAGGTACGATGACCGTTAATATAAATATATATATATATATATATATATATATATATATATATATATATATAATATAACTTATATTTATATATAGAGAGAGAATTAGATAGTTAGAAATGTGTATATGTAATTTAATATATGTTTCCTGTAATTGTTGACAGATTTGTTCACTTTTCAAAGTTCTATTTTTATTGCAGATTGTTCTTCCTGCTGTGTTCGTGTGCATCGCTCTGGTCTTCAGTCTAATCGTACCTCCTTTTGGAAAATATCCCAGTCTGGAGCTGCAGCCCTGGATGTATGAAGACCAGGTCACCTTCATCAGGTACACAACTGTCCCACACTGTACTAAACTGTCCCACACTGTACTAAACTGTCCTTCACTGTACACAACTGTCCCACACTGCACTAAACTGTCCTACACTGTACACAACTGTCCCACACTGCACTAAACTGTCCCACACTGCACTAAACTGTCCTACACTGTACACAACTGTCCCACTTTACTAAACTATCCTACACTGCACTAAACTCTCCTACACTGTACACAACTGTCCCACACTGTACACAACTGTCCCACACTGCACTAAACTGCCCCACACTGCACTAAACTGCCCCACACTGCAGTAAAATAGTTCTACTAACAGTAGAAACATACCTGTTACACACACACTGACAGACTGAGTTAAATGTTTGTGTGTGTCTTGTTTGTTGGTGTGTCAGTGATGACGCTCCCGGAGACGGCAACATGCAGAAGTTGTTAGGCGCTCTGCTGGACGCTCCGGGCTTCGGGACTCGCTGCATGGATGGACATCCCATCCCGTAAGAAAACATATACAAACAGTATACTACCTAAATATACAGTATATTTATATATAGAGTGTATATAAAATCTTCATCCTCACTTGGCCTGTCCTGTATCTTTAAGGATGAGGTAATCACACATGCAGTATGATCATTGATTATCTCCCCGTCCTCAGAGAGGCTCCCTGTACGATGGGCGATGAAGACTGGCAGATTCCTGATGTCCCTGAAAGCCTCCAGCAGCTGTTCAGTTCCACAAACTGGACCATGGAGGATCCGTCTCCGGCCTGTTTCTGCAGCTGTGACAGCAAGAAGAAGATGCTGCCGGACTGTCCTGCGGGAGCTGGAGGACTGCCCCCACCTGAGGTCAGACCACCTGACCCAGACCTCAACCTGAACGCATCATTAGGCCTCTGTTAAAATATGTTCATGTAAATATTATATTATATCTTCATCAGAATTACATTCTGGTGGTGTGTGTGCGGAAAACAGCACAAAGAACATTGTTATTATTAACATTATTATATAGTAACGGTAAAGAAACAGTAGTAGTATAATACATGATTTACAGTTAATAGTAATGTTGTTAAAGAAATGACTGTTGTTGTCCAGATGAAGCTGAGCGCCAATGACACTCTGCAGAACCTGACAGGAAGAAACATCTCCGACTACCTGGTGAAAACATACGCTCAGATCATCGGCAAGAGGTGAGACAATATACTGCAGTACATATACACAGAAATACACAGAATATACACATTAAATATACTGTAGATACACATTAAATGTGCTGTATATACACAGAGTACACTGTAGCTACACAGTAATACACAGAGGGTACATATTTAATATACTGTAGATACACAGTAATACACAGTAGTACACAGTGGACACAGACATACACAGTAGTACACGGAGTACACAGTAGTACATGAAGTACACAGTTGTTACTTGGTTACTAAAAGCTGCTGTCTGTTCACAGTCTGAAGAACAAAGTTTGGGTGAACGAGTTCAGGTCAGTGTTTTTCTTTCTTCTGCTTTTATTTTGTAAACCATAAACTGTCGTTGTTTCCTGTTTGTCACACATTGATCTGCTTTTTCTCTCTGCAGGTACGGAGGCTTCTCATTGGGCGCCAGGAGCACTCAGGTCCTCCCACCGGCCAATGAGATCGACGATGCCATCGAACGAGTCAGAAAGATCTTTGAGCTACAGAAGGTTGGTTCAAGCTTCAGAAAGTCTTTAATTAATTTAATTCAATAAATAAGTAAATAAACTAAGACATCTCAATTAATTCAATGAACTAAATAGATTAAATGAAGTAAGTTAGTTCAATGATCTACACTGTGACTGAATGAAGTGCTGGATGTTAAACTGACAGCTGCTCGTTTCAGGGAGCGGCAGCAGATCGATTCCTCGACAGTCTGTCAGGCTTCATCAACGGTTTGGACACAAAGAACAACGTGAAGGTGAGAAACTGAAGGACTGAAGAAGACCCTGTGACGTGGTTGAAAGCTCCAGGAGAAGCTTGTTTCTACTAAACTACGGCTGTTATTATAATTACTGACTAATGACAAATAATTCAAAACGACCCCTATGATAGTTAGCCCACGGACTACAGCCACCTCGCCCGGACCAGGGAAACCGGGGCACCCTCCCGGAGCCAGACCCAGGAGGGGAGCTCGTAGGCGAGCGTCTGGTGGCCGGGCCTTTGCCCATGGGGCCCAGTCGGGCTCAGCCCGAATAAACACCATGGAGCAGCCACCCTGTGGACCCACCACCCGCAGGGACAAGCATCGGGGTCGGGTGCTATGCAGACCGGGCGGTGGGTCGGGCCGGAGGCCCGGGCATGCCGATAGCCGGCGGCATAGACTAGCTCTTGGGACGTGGAACGTCACCCCGCTAGCGGGGAAAGAGCCGGAGCTGGTGCAGGAGGTGGAGCGATACCAGCTAGAAATAGTTGGACTCACCTCCACACACAGCGTTGGCTCTGGAACCAAGCTCCTGGAGAGGGGTTGGACTTTGTCCTTTTCCGGAGTTGCCCAGGGTGAGAGGCGCCGGGTGGGAGTGGGGATACTCACGAGCCCCCGACTGAGCGCCGCTGTGTTGGAGTTCTCCCCGGAGAGCGAGAGGGTCGCCTCCATGTGCCTACGGGTTGCGGGGAGCAAGGCTCCGACTGTGGTTTGTGCTTATGCACCAAACAGCAGTTCGGAGTATCCGGCCTTCTTGGAGTCGGTGGGAGGGGTCCTGGAAAGGGCGCCGCCTACCGACTCCATAGTTCTCCTGGGGGACTTCAACGCTCACGTGGGCAATGACGGAGAAACCTGGCGGGGGGTGATTGGGAGGAACGGCTTGCCCGATCTGAACCCGAATGGTGTTTCCTTATTGGACTTCTGTGCTTGCCACGGTTTGGCCATAACGAACACTATGTTCGAACATAAGGTGGCTCATAAGTGTACCTGGTACCAGAACACCTTAGGCCGGAGATCAATGATCGACTTTGTAATCGTATCATTTGATCTGCGGCCGTATGTCTTGGACACTCGGGTGAAGAGAGGAGCAGAGCTGTCAACTGATCACCACCTGGTGGTGAGTTGGATCAGATGGCAGGGGAACCGGTTGGAAAGACCCGGCAAACCCAAACGTGTAGTGAGGGTGAACTGGGAACGTCTGGCGGAGGACCCTGTCCGGGAGGTCTTTAACTCCCACCTCCGGAAGAACTTCTCACACATCCTGAGGGAGGTTGGGGACACGGAATCCGAATGGACCATGTTCAAAGCCTCTATTGTGGACGCGGCTGCTCGGAGCTGTGGCCGGAAGGTCATCGGTGCCTGTCGTGGCGGCAACCCGAGAACCCGGTGGTGGACACTGGAGGTGAGGGAAGCCGTCAAGCTGAAGAAGGAGACCTTCAAGGCCTGGTTGGCCCAGGGGTCTCCTGAAGCAGCTGACAGGTACCGGCAGGCCAGAAGGGCTGCAGCTGCGGTGGTCGCGAATGCTAAAACTCGGGCATGGGAGGAGTTCGGGGAGGCCATGGAGAAGGACTTTCGGTTGGCCTCAAGGAGGTTCTGGCAAACCATCCGACGGCTCAGGAAAGGAAAGCAGGGCTTACCCCAGGCTGTTCTCAGCAGGGGGGGGGGGAACTGCTGACCCGGACAGGGGATATCGTTGGGCAGTGGAAAGAGCACATTGAGGAACTCCTAAACCCGACCAACATGTCCTCTGCAGAGGAGGCAGCGCCTGAGGACCTAGGGGGAGGCTCACCCATATCCCTGGCAGAGGTCGCTGAGGTAGTTAAAAAGCTCCTTGGTGGCAAGGCGCCGGGGGTGGATGAGATCCGCCCTGAGATGCTGAAGGCACTGGACATAGGTGGGCTGTCCTGGCTGACACACCTCTTCAATGTCGCATGGGGGTCGGGATCAGTGCCCATGGAATGGCAGACCGGGGTGGTGGTTCCCATCTTCAAAAAGGGGGACCGGAGAGTGTGCTCGAATTACCGGGGTATCACACTACTCAGCCTCCCGGGGAAGGCTTATGCCAGGGTGCTGGAAAGGAGGCTCCGACCGCTTGTCGAACCTCAGATTCAAGAGGAGCAGTGCGGATTCCGTCCCGGCCGTGGAACAGTGGACCAGCTCTTTACCCTCGCAAGACTACTGGAGGGGTTCTGGGAGTTTGCCCAACCAGTCTACATGTGCTTTGTGGACTTGGAGAAAGCTTTCGACCGGGTCCCTCGGGGGGTCTTGTGGGGGGTGCTGCGGGAGTATGGGGTGCCGGACCCGTTACAACGGGCGATCCGGTCTCTGTACGACTGCAGTAGGAGCTGTGTCCGCATTCTCGGCAATAAGTCAGACACGTTCCCAGTGGGTGTTGGCCTCCGCCAGGGCTGCCCTTTGTCACCGGTCCTGTTCATGATTTTCATGGACAGGATATCTAGGCGCAGCCTGGGGGCGGAGAACGTCAGTTTCGGGGGTCTCGGGATCGCCTCTCTGCTATTTGCAGATGATGTGGTCCTGTTAGCCTCCTCGGATCGTGACCTCCAGCATTCACTGGGGCGGTTTGCAGCCGAGTGTGAAGCGGCGGGGATGAGAGTTAGCACCTCCAAATCTGAGGCCATGGTTCTCTGCCGGAAACCGGTGGATTGCTCCCTCCAGGTGGGGACGGAGTGCCTACCTCAAGCGAAGGAGTTCAAGTATCTCGGGGTCTTGTTCACGAGTGAGGGTAAGATGGAGCGGGAGATCGACAGACGGATCGGTGCAGCTGCAGCAGTAAAGCAGGCGGTGCACCGGACCGTCTTCATGAAGAGGGAGCTGAGCCGGAAGGCAAAGCTCTCAATTTACCACTCAGTCTACGTTCCTACCCTCACCTATGGTCACGAACTCTGGGTCGTGACCGAAAGGACAAGGTCGCGGCTACAAGCGGCCGAAATGAGTTTCCTCCGTAGGGTGGCCGGGCTCAGCCTTAGAGATAGGGTAAGGAGCTCGGTCATCAGGAGGGAGCTTGGAGTAGAGCCGCTACTCCTTCGTGTCGAAAGGAGTCAGCTGAGGTGGTTTGGGCATCTAATTAGGATGCCTCCTGGACGCCTCCCACTGGAGGTTTTCCAGGCACGTCCAACTGGGAAGAGACCCCGGGGAAGACCCAGAACATGCTGGAGAGATTACATCTCCCAGCTGGCCTGGGAACGCCTTGGGATCCCCCAGAATGAGCTGGAACATGTTGCCGGAAGGGGGAGGTCTGGGTTGGCCTGCTTGACCTGCTGCCACCGCGACCCGACCCCAGATAAGCGGTGGAAAATGGATGGATGGATGGATGGACAAATAATGGAATAATGAAATGTGAACCGTCCTCAGATCTGGTTCAACAACAAAGGCTGGCACAGCATCGGAGCCTTCATCAACGTGATGAACAATGGCATCCTGAGGGCAAACCTGCCTGAAGGGACAGACCCCAACCTGTACGGCATCAGGGCCTTCAACCACCCTCTGAACCTCACCAAGGAGCAGCTCTCACAGGTGGCTCTGTGAGTACTGAGAGGAAGTATACCTGAGACTGCTGACCTGACAGGAAGTACACCTGAGACTACTGACCTGACAGAAAGTGCACCTGAGACTACTGACCTGACAGAAAGAACACCTGAGACTACTCACCTGACAGAAAGAACACCTGAGACTACTGACCTGACAGGAAGTACACCTGAGACTACTGACCTGACAGGAAGTACACCTGAGATGAATCACCTGACAGGAAGAACACCTGAGACTACTGACCTGACAGGAAGTACACCTGAGACTACTGACCTGACAGGAAGTACACCTGAGATCACTGACCTGACAGGAAGTACACCTGAGATCACTGACCTGACAGGAAGTACACCTGAGACTACTGACCTGACAGGAAGTACACCTGAGATCACTGACCTGACAGGAAGTACACCTGAGATCACTGACCTGATAGGAAGTACACCTGAGACTCACCATGAGACTGACCACATGGTTCACATCAACCACACAGACCTGACTCCTCCTCCTGTCTGTCTCCAGGGTAACGACTTCTGTGGACGTCCTGGTGTCCATCTGTGTGATATTCGCCATGTCCTTCGTCCCGGCCAGCTTCGTGGTCTTCCTCATCCAGGAGCGAGTCAGTAAAGCCAAACACATGCAGTTCATCAGTGGAGTGCAGCCGCTGCTCTACTGGGTGGCCAACTTCATCTGGGACATGGTGAGAATAGGATGTTCATTCTGAGAGTATACGATCAATGTACCATCAATAGATCAATAGATACCATCAGTAGATACCATCAATAGATACCATCAGCAGATTCCATCAATAGATACCATCAATAGATACGATCAATAGATACCATCAGTAGATACCATCAGTAGTATCCATCAATAGATAGTCTGTATCGTGTGGAACGTCAGTGTGTATCAGTGTTGTTGATGTTGTTGTTTGTCTCTACAGTGTGTATCGTGTGTGTATCAGTGTTGTTGTTGTTTGTGTCTCTACAGTGTGTACCGTGTGTGTATCAGTGTTGTTGTTGTTGTTTGTGTCTCTACAGTGTGTATCGTGTGTGTGTATCAGTGTTGTTGATGTTGTTGTTTGTGTCTCTCTACAGTGTAACTACGTCGTCCCGGCAACGCTGGTCGTCATCATCTTCATCTGTTTCCAACAACAAGCCTACGTCTCCTCTACCAACCTGCCGGTGCTCGCTCTCCTGCTGCTGCTCTACGGGTCAGAGTACTGATACAGAGTACTGATACAGAGTACTGATACAGAGTAC